TAGATTAGACTTTACATTTACATTTAGTCATTTAGCAGACACTTTTATCCAAAGCGACTTACAAATGAGGACAATGGAAGCAATCAAAATCAACAAAAGAGCAATTTTTATAGCACACAAGTGCTATAACAAGTCTCAGTTAGCTTAACGCAGTACATGTAGCAAGGTTTTTTTTATTATATAATAAATAAAAAGAAAACAGATAGAATAGAAAAAGAATAGAGCAAGCAAGTGTTATAGGCCTTTTTTGCTTTTGTTAATTTTATAATAAATAAAAAGAAAACAAATAAATAAAATACAAAAAGATTAGAGAAGCTAGTGTTAGTTTTTTTTTTCTTTTCCAAAAAACATCTAAAAATGCCAGGCCACTTCTGGAAAAGAATTCTATGGACGACTGAAATTAAGATTAACCTGTACCAGAATGGCGGGAAGAAAAAAGTATGGAGAAGGCTTGGAACAGCTCATGATCCAAAGCATACAACATCATCAGTGAAACATGGTGGAGCACTGGGTTACTGGTGTTTAGTGATGATGTGACAGAGGACAGAAGCAGCCGGAAGAATGTTGAAGTGTGTAGGGATATACTCTCTGCCCAGATTAGTCAAATGGAACCAAGTTGATTGGCTTCGCTTCATAGTACAAATGGACAATGACCCAAAACATACAACAAAAGCAACCCAGGAGTTTTTGAAGGTAAAAAAGTGGAATATATAAGAATAATGCAATATGAAGTCCACGATACGATATTTATTGCAATATTTAAAAAAAGAGACAAATGAAAACATTTTGTACATTTTAAAGTTAAATTATTCTATCTAATGCACTTCGAGAGTTCAAAATTAAGAGCTCCAACCCATGATCTCAACTAAGAAAACTTCAGTGACTTGACTTACCTGAACTTTGAAGAGGACTCAACACTCTTTTTTGTTTGTGACATATTGTACATACTCAGAATAAATTACATTCACACTGGTGTTTTAGGAAGCCAAACAAATTAGAATATAATAATAATAATAATAACCGTAATAGCCATATATTGTAAAACTATTGCACTGTAAAATAAATGCAAATGAATATTTCATAGATATATTATTTTTGCTTTACACGACAGAAGGGAAATTACAATACTTCTTTCCTAATTTCTACACTTGAAAGAGATATTTTGAACTGCATTTAAACTGCTAGCTGTCAGCAAAATTAATACTGCACTTTTAAGCTTTTATTTTGACGGAAATCTCCAGCTTCAGACAAAACATGCTTACAAAAGCGTGTCTCACTACAAATCTAGTGAAATGCTGTAATCATTTGCAGCGAAAATATAGCATAACTGGTGGCCGTTGCGTTCCCAAATGTGCGCTAAACTCATAGCATGTGCACTAATTGAGTTCACTGCATTCACTGTGAATGGAACCGTTCGGAGCAGAGTATGTGAGCGGCGTGATTTTGCCTGGAGCTAGGAGCGATTTTTTGAAAGTCGGAGCGTTGAGGTTTTCACTCGTTCTGAGAATGCTCTGCTACCGCTCCGTCACAAGCACAAATTATGCCAACTCACGCATTAAACATAATTAGTTAGATTGACAGATTATATATATAAATGCCAAAATTATTAGAACATAGTATTTTCACCAGCTAAAAAATGGTTTTAAATCCGTTATTTCTTATTATCTTTTGCTGTAGTGTGTCAGTAGGAAATATCAGTTTACATTTCTAAATATAAATTTTGCCATTAATTTTAATAATCCAGTGAGATTTTTGTTTGCACAATGACATGAAAAAACAGATAAAACTGAGACAGATTAAATCCAGAAGAACTGTGGCAACGTCTCCAAGATGCTTCAAGAAACCTACCTGCAAAGCTACGGTAATGTTGATAGTTGTTAACGGGGCATGATGTGTTGTATACCTCAGTCTGCTTCTGTACTGCCGAGAACTGCTGCGCACTGCTGTGTGTCAAGAAAGCGCACCTTGTCAACATTTTTCATCTCGACCAGGTTGAACCAGAGAAGGCACTCTTGGACCACCAGAGTGGACATCACATTCCTAAGGGTCCGCGCCGTGATTTTTGTCATTCGGAGGGCGAAGTCAGTCGACCCCGGGTCGATACTACCCTCGTGCATTTGTTTTACGGTCTTGGCCTGGTGAACTTGCAGGATAGCCGTGGCATGCTGGGCAGAAGAGGCTTGGCCCACAGCAATATATGCTTTGGCAGCGAGAGCTGCCAACAGCTTACAGGCTTTGGATGGGAGACACAGACGATTCCTCCAAGTGGTGGCGTTTTGCAGACACAAGTGCACTGCAACAGCTTTCTCCAACTGGGGAATGTCTACATACCCCATAGCCACCCTGTCATCGAGGGTAGTGAGGATGGAGGAGGAAGATGAGTGGCATCTGGACCACCGAATGCAACACTGGGATTGCCATGAGATGGGCCAGCAGAATAACCTGGCAGCCGGACAGGACAAGCACTGCGAGAGAAGTGAGAGGTCCGTGGGGACTGGCCCAGAGAAGCTCTCACTGTAACCCTCAAATCTCCCAGAGCTCGAATCTCCACGATCACAGTATTGCCATGGTCATGCGCTCGCAGTGCGGGCATGAACCATCCGTGAACTCATCTTCAGTGTGCTGAATGCCCAGACACAGAAGGCAACGCTTGTGGCCATCATCAGAGGACACAAAACGACCGCAACCAAGAGGACACGGACAAAGCGGAATCTTTAAAAAGAGGCAAGCCGTCCGCAATTGCTCTTTTAGAGGAAATCTGCTCTTTTAGTTGAAGCACCCAGGGGAATCACTGTAAAGGGACACAGCTATTCGCACCATACCGCCAACCAGAACAGCCCTCCGTCACAGCAGATGAATGGCTTTATGGAGTATAACAGCTTTCATACAAACACTCGGCTCCGAAGCAAAAATCAAAAATTCGAAGCATGCTGTCACCTTATATGTATGTACGGGGAGTGGCTCAGCATGCAAAATCCACTAGCCAATTTTCATTGGCATTTTCTGTTAAACTAAGAGATGATTGCAAGTTGACCCCTAATGTCTTCATGACATAACTCGTAGTGATCGACAGATAGGGAACCTAGGGTATGATTTTACTCCAAAATTCAATGTACATTACAAAATGACAAATGCAAGTCCATGATTGGGTGCCTGGATTCCAGTTATTTCCGTGAATTGCAGCGATCCAATTGCTCCTCTTTTCTGTATCATTCAGCAGTCTGGAAATATATTGCTCCACTTTCTTGTTTTACCTATTTGTTCAGTGAATCACATAGCAGATCTTTCATATTTACAATGTGTTTTCACAGCATTCAAGCTGAACATTAATGTCTAAAGCCCTATTCGCACGGGATTAGTATTATCTGGGGACCTTGTGTGATTTTGAAATTACCCCCCCACATCTGAATTTCGTGTGGTGAATTCGCACAGGATAAGCGAAGCCTGTGATTTTACTCGAATTTACTGACTTGTCTCCCGGATACCCGGATGTCAAGGCTTTGAGAGTCCCGTTCTATGGTCCAGATGGATTTAAAAAAAATAAACTAATATAGTTTCGTGCGCTGTGTCGTTTACATTTCACCAGGTTAAAATAATATCTCAAGCTTTATGCTTGATTTATTTGTAACACATTAACCTCAAAACCTTTTCAGCTTTCTCTTTCAGCAAATTGTATGGTGTAGCGATATGATGACAGCACCCAAAATACTATCAAACACTCCAACGCAGCTCCATTCTTCACGAAAGATGGATAAAAAGGCGCACAGCAAACAAAAATCTCGAAAAATTATATGCGACCCGCCAAATGCTGGCCGAATCACAGAGATGCCGAATCGCACGGGACTAATATTATCACAGGACCTCGGTGTTCGGCAAAATATGGTAGGTCATTTGCGGGGGAATTTTTACTTTACAAATTACAGACATGGCCGATTCGCACGGGATTAAGATCACAGACAACCTTCGCAATTATTACAAATGACTGGAGGTCACCAGGTAATACTAATCCCGTGTGAATAGGGTTTTAGTGAGTGACTCCTGCTTACTGTGACATCATGTGCATACCCTCTATATGCAGGATTTTTGAGAAATAATTCAAATACCACTGAATTTATAGTAATGTAAATAATTACCCAAATATATCCTTATTGCACCGATACCAAATGAAATTCACAAGTTATAATCCCACAGACTCTCACTGTAAAATGGGTGATTTAACATAAGTGTTAAGAGAGATTTGCTATGAAAACCTGTGGTTAACTATGAAATATGGCTGACATCATCAGATTAAAATAATTAAGATGCCTCTGGCAGGCCAAAGTTACTTTTTTTTAAAAACATCTGCTCGCTCCAATCTGTGGGGAAAAACATTTAAAGGCACTTAAAGCTGAGACCCCCTCATAGACCATTCAAGATTATGACAGATGTCAGAAAAATGCACCAAATAACAGAGAGAGAGGTAAGGAGAGGCAAAGGCACTTATTCTGTGTTAGAGAGAAGCTGTGTTTCAACCAGCTAAAGAGCAATTATTGAAACTTAGCACACATGCAAGAATAATGGAATGAGATATTTAAGTGATTTATTTCATAATCTGCCAAATGTAGCTAAATGCATTGTTAATCATCCTGTGAATTAAGTTCTCAAGCAACTGAGCTGAAAATAATTACATTATTTGAACGATCTCTTAGTCTAGAATACTCATATGTCACTGTAATGTCAGAGTATGTTAGGACCTCGATTCTACTACAAAACCTTCAGCTTTATTGAATTGCAAGAATTGCAGGCAGACTGCTGGTACTGAACATTTAAAATGGCTCCTTGAGGTGTTTATAGTTTGGCCTTTCCAAGCCTTTTTTTTTTACACACACCATTAAGAAACCCATGCATTTCAAACATGCAGCCCGCAAGGCCATATGGGAGATATAACACATTCATTCACTCATTAGAATAGGACATGCAAGAAGAAAAAAACAAAAACAAACAAAAATAAAAACACATACCCTTGGTCCCTGGTCACCTTGATCCCCCTATAAAAAAAAAGAGCAAAAAAAAAATTGGAATAAGATAATTTCATTTTTGTAATATTGTACACAAATACAAGCAATGAAAGGAGCCATTTAAAACACATTCGCTATATCCACATTCTCAAAAATTCATTGCAGTTGAGAGTAAAATCACTTTTTTTTCACACACAAATTGTCAGGTCAGGAAGAGGAATGAGTGTGCACACTAAAAACAATGTTTATAAACTTAACAGAAAACAAATGTGAATATGTTATATTAATTGTTACAATACCTTACCATAAACGTTTTACAACTAAACATTATATTACATTTATCAGGACAAAAAAAAAAATTTTTGTAGTGTAGTGACATTTTATTTTAAAAATGTATTTATATAATAAAATTTCTTTTTGTTTATATAATTTACATTACATAAAGTACATAAAGGTGTTTGTTAATTCTTATGTTGTTTAGTTTATGCCTATTGAATAATTTAAAGATTAAACTAGTTAATGAAATAAGGCACCAAAATACTATCCCATAATGCATGACACATTTTTGTAACTGCCAACCATAAAAATTGTATTCTTTCCATTAACAAGATTTTTTATCGTTAAATTAACATTATTAAATAAGACAAAAGAAAGAAACAATCTTGTTTCCAGACATGTTTCCGTCCTGAAATGTGTTGAACTATTTTTTACGCACCTCATCCCAAACCTTTCATTGCAAATTCCAAAACGTCATTTTAGAGCTAATAACAGAGGCTTGAGCCAATGATATGCAGGCTAATGCAGTTATTAATGCAGTCTAATGCAGTTATTAGAGAGAGAGAGAGAGAGAGAGAGAGAGAGACAGAGAGATATTAAGCACGTGTGAATACCTGCGTCTGTGCGTCTCTCAGAAGTGCAGCAGCGTCTACTAATAGCGAATCTTTAAGTTAAACTGCTTCAAGAACTTCCCTACTGAGAAATGTCATGTAGCTTTTCAGCTGCGAAACTATTTTATTGATAAATTCGCGGGGCGGTGTTGATGACAAGTTTCTGTCCGCGTGTGTGCACGGGTGTGTGTGTGTGCGTCTGTGAGAGAGAACTGGAGAAAGCGTGATTTCCGTACATAAAAAAAGGTGGAAGACATGGAAATAATTTGTAATTTTTTACCCTATTGTTTGTTATATTTATTTGCTCAATGTCTTCTGAGGTGTTGGTTCTTTTATTGTTGTAGATAGCCCATAGTATAACAAAATATTATATATCTCTTCATTGTGTTTGGGGCCCCCTGGACGAGTGAGCATAGGCACGTGCCTAGAATGACAATGCATAAATCCGGCCCTGGGTGTGAGTTTGCCCAGCCTCAGTAGCTGCTGCCTGTCTGTCAGGAAGCTGGTGATCCTCTGACAGATGGAGGTGGGCACAGAGAGCTGTGTCAGTTTGTCTGAGAGCAGGTCAGGCATGATGGTATTGAAGGCCGAACTGAAGTCCACAAATAGGATCCTTACGTAATTCTCAGGTCTGTTGAGGTGTTGCAGGATGTAATGCAGTCCCATGTTGACTGCATCGTCCACAGACCTGTTTGCTCTGTAGGCAAACTGAAGAGGATCCAGCAATGGTTCAGTGATGTCCTTCAGGTAGACCAGGACCAGTCGCTCAAATTATTCATGACCACAGACATGAGAGCGACAGGTCTGTAATCATTAAGTCCAGTGATTTTGAGTTTTTTGGGGACTGGAATGATAGTGGACCGTTTGAAGCAGCAGGGAACTTCACACAGCTCCAGAGATCCGTTGGAGATCTGTGTAAGACTTTTACTGTAAGACAGCGCAGACTTTTAAAAAGGCAGGTGAAACACCGTCTGGGTCTGTAGCTTTCTTAGTCTTCTTTTTTTCTGAAAAAAAACTTGGGGTGGTAGGTGAATGTGTGAAGTGCAGATCAGAGCGGATGGGGGGTGGTAGACTGGCCTTTTCAAATCGACAGTAAAACACATTCAGATCGTCAGCCAGTTGTTGATTCTCCACAGACTGTGGGGGTGGTGTTTTGTACAAGGCGATGTTCTTGAGAACAGTCCATACTGACGCCGGATCTTTGGCTGAAAACTGTTTTCAGCCACTCTGATCTCCTTTGTTAGTCTGTTCCTGGCCTGGTTATACAAGATTTTATCCCCACTTCTGTAAGCATCCTCTTTGGCGTGACGAAGCTGTTTGAGTTTCCCAGTAAACCACGGTTTATCATTATTGAATGATAAGCATGTCCTGGTGGGGATACACATATCCTCACAGAAACTGATATATGAAGTTACAGTCTCTGTGAGCTCATCCAGATCGGTGGCAGCAGCTTCAAAAACACTCCAATCAGTGAGGTCGAAACAGGATTGTAAATCCTGCTCTGCTTCATTAGTACATCTTTTAACCTGTTAACCCGCACCTGGACGCCAGTGCACTGAATGCTCTCTGTTTGCACGTGTCAAAGTTTACGAATAGATTAAATGAAAAGGGACAAACTTAATCTTGACAAACTATATATCATTCTAAAGGTCTAAGCCTCAAGCATCGACGATAGATCGCTGTTTTTCAATGGAAAGCTTATAAGGAATGTATTTGCTAAATTTGTATAAGCAGTACACATCCAAACATGCATAATAAAAATGCAGTACATACCAGATTCATCATAATAACGAGTCAAAAACGCATCCACTGCTGTAAATCCTGGTTTAGTTAACAAGGCAAGGGTCCACTGAACAACATCCTATAGAGCACTTTTAGTTTCCAACGAAACAATAACGTTGTAATATGGATGTATATTCCTTTGTTTACGTCTCATTTCTTTGGGGACAGTTATTGTTTGTATCCGTTATGGAATAACTTACGCTCAAAAAAACTGTGTCTTGGTAGTAAAAAGCAACATGGTTTTGTAGCATACAGTGTCACAAACAGAATGAGACCATCCACAAAAAAAAAAGTAAAAGATATGCGGAATCTTGTTTATTTGAATTCTGACGCTCTCTTGTGACGGCTCGTAATGCAAGCTGTGACACACCTGTAATCTGATGGAGGTGTAACTTAGCGATCGGCTTTTTGCACAAATAATTATTTTTTTTCCTATTCAACATTTTTCATATATGTGTGTGTGTTTGTGGGGAATGTGGCTGTATATGCATGATTACCAATCTGTATGACCGCACATCAGCATGTGATTACTGACTGTATGACCAGCTATCAGTGTGAATGCCGTCTATATGAACGGCCATAAGAGTGAGACTATTGACTATATGGCCGGTCATCTGTATGATTACCATCTGTATGACCGGCCATCAGCATTAGATTACTGACTGTATGACCAGCAATCAGTGTGAATGCAGTATGTCTGGCAATCAGAGTATGTACTTGACATACAAAGCTAATTCTTTTTTTTTCTCTCTTCTTTTTATTACTCAAATTATTCTTGTATTTTTCTAGTGCTCAAATAAATCATTTATTCGATGTCTAAGATTCAGTCTATTATTTTATAATTGAAAAAGTATGCAGCGGTATGTATAATGT